AAAATTTACGTGATTGAAATTAATTGCCAAAATTGACATGTGAGAGAATCATTCAAAATCTAAACCAAATATAAACCAAAAATGATATGTCGATTTATTTGACAAATCTCAAAAAAAAAATTCTTACCGTTTAAGGGTATCTAATTCAATAAGGCTAAAACATATCACACAATGCAATAAAACTGGTAAGGCTACTACTAAATAGAGGTTAGGTTAAGTTAAAGTTCTTCTATACTTTTAACAACTTTTGTTTATTACATTCATGAGTGTAGATAAGTATGAATCGACCTAATACTATTGCAATCTAAAATATGTATAACCCTTGTATAAAGCATATTATATCTGATCAAGTTAATGTGATAAATGATCGTGTGGTTGATTGTAAATGATTTTTGAGTATACAGAATAACGTAGTAGAGAAAATAGTATGTGAGGTTTTGGTGTTCATAACATAAATTATATTGTGTTGTGATCAAGCGCGTTTACAAAAGAAATTATAGTTGAAGGAGAAGACAATAAAATTAAATAATTTGGTTGGTTGGATATTTTACCACAAATTGTTTGTGGTAAAAAAAAAAACTACATGTAGTCCAGTTACTGAGGGTTTTTACCTCCGAATTCTTTATAACTGAACCGATTGACGTGAAATTTTGACTGAATGTGGGGAATGCCTCAAGAAACAAAACTTATATAGTGCCGAAGTGTGCTTTAGCCCTGGGGGTGGTTCCCACCCCTTGTAGGTGGTGGAAATTTTTACGCCCAAAATAACTACAGGAATCGATAGAGGAGCCAATTTTAAGTAACAAATATTATATAAAGTTTTTTGTATAATCCAATACTTTCCGAGTAATTCGTCATTGAAAATGTTGATTTTTTACTGAAAAAGTGTTTTTTTTCGAACAGTTTTTTGCAAATAACTCTGAAACCATTGGATTTAACGAAAAAGCTGCAATGAACAATAAGAAAGGTAATAAACAAAATAATCTAATGGTACTATTTTGTTTTTCTCTAATTGCAATATAAACCGAGTTATGGATTTTTAAACATTATTATATGTTAGCTAAAAACTAAATTGGAACCAGTTTAAATAACGCCAAAACCATAAATATTAGGAAAAAATCTGTTTGAACCTTTTTTAAAGTACTTTGAAAAACCTTTAAAATGAGCTATTTAAAAGTCTTTAGAATCAAAATTAACGGAAATATGATCGGAGTCTAATTTTTTTAAAGAAAAAATTAATAAACAAATCAGCGCCTTTGGCGACATAATTAAAATTAAATGCAATCCATTTACAGATTTTTTCATTTATGTTCTAAGAATATGTTCTGGGTCTTTGGCTCACTTACAAAGCATGATTTCTAAAAAAAACTTAATTTTTGAAAATGTAAATTTTTCAAATTTATTAAAAAAAATCGATTTTTACGCTTTAGCTTTTTATATTATTCCCCTAAAATTAATATTAATCGAGATATCGCCATTTTAAGTTATCATATGAATGAGAGAACCACCCTTTTCGACCCCTTTAAGCCCTTCAAACTTAAAAATGAAGAGCTTAAAAAAGATCAACTCAACAGTTCACGTAGCCCTTACAATTCCCTGCAAAATGAGCCTTTGTGCGATTAAAAATCTTAAAAAGTAAGAAAGTTACCGTCAAAAAAATAAACACATGTATAGGTGATAANCTTTGTGCGATTAATAATCTTAAAAAGTAAGAAAGTTATCGTCAAAAAAATAAACACGTGTGTAGGTGATAATTTTAGGAAAATATACCTATATAAATACATATATAAATAAATGTAAGGGGTAATTTTTAAGTGTTGAAAAGTTGCAATCAATTCAAAATTATTTTATAAGAAGGGAATAAATGTTTATTTAATAAGAATACACATTTAAAATGTTTCTACTCTTTGAATAATATTTTTTCGTTTTATTTTCGAAAAAAAGGGGTATTTTTAAAGGGTTGAAAAGTTGTAATCGATTTTTTAATCAAGAAATCAATAGTTATTTGATAAAAATGCATGATTAAAACGTTTCAAGCTGAAAAAAAATGTTTATATTAAAAAATGTTTATATTTTTTTCAAGGGGTGGTTTTTAAAGGTTTTTTCGGGTTGAAAATTTGGGATACATTAAGTTTCATGTTAGATAGCACATGAAATTACTCATACTGCATAAATAAAAAAGATTTGATTACATAAAATGCATAAATTTATATTTTTTCTATTTTTTCCAATAAGGTGTGGTTTTCACCCCTTAAGAACAAATAGCACACCTAGCACATATATAAGTTTTGAAGTGGGGGTAAGATGAGCCTAATTCTAAATTTTGAGAAAAATCGATGCAGTTACAAAAAATTCGGAGGTACCTATTACTATATTTTCAGCTACAGTAACTGAGCTAATGGTCCTACAGTCATTTTTGGTCGGTTTTTACAATGCTGATTCCTCCAAAGCTAGATTTTCGGTATTTTCTGTATTAAGGGTGGTTTCTCGCGATTAAAAAAATGGACTCGGATTCAGCGGGTAAAAATACATAAGGATACATGGGACTACTTTCCCACAATAATATTGTTAAAATTTCAAACATACGGTGGATTATTAAACCCACATTAATGAAAGACTAAATCCTGCACAAATTATTAACATGATTTTAATTTAAATTTTAACGCGTTCTTCCTCACCGAATCTTTTCTTGTAAATTTCGCCACTTTTTGAGCAACGTTAAAATTAGTTAATTAACAATTTAACGACAAGATTTTTTCTGTGGACTTCGGCGACGAGCGAAAATCTCCTAATTTGACTTTACGGAGTAATGCGTCCCTGGATGAAACGGCGCCAGTTAAAATGGAACATCGCAAGTAAATTTAAATACCGCCTCAATTATTTTCTGGAAACTGGTATCATATCGCAACACGCCTGCTTTATATGGCACTTCGAATAAACTAATTAAACTTTATTTCGTGGCGAATAATTATTTTTCGGCACGCACAGGCTGTATCATCGACGATAGGTTTAAGATAACCCGGAGCCCACTGTACCTGCGATCTGGTTTTAATGCGAGGCGAATGCTAGTTATTTATACCGCGATTTCGCATAAACGGCGGAATAATCGTTTGCATTAATAAATGAGTACGAAAGCGTCTCATTATAATATTATTTATAAGATAACCGGAATGGGGCAAGGAAATCAGAGTCTTGATTTTGGGAGCTATAAATATTAAAAGATATTACCAACTGCTAAACTATATTATAGTCCGTACGTAATTTATTGAGATAGAAGTCAAGAAGGTCTCTGCATCACTTTCACCCGAGGTAGAAAGACATTGGCGGCGTGGCGTTCACCGTAGCAGCTTGCAGTGCATATTGTGTTTTGCAGTTCTGTGTCGTCCTGTGCATTTTCAGTGTAATTTCTTATTAAAAAGAATCCATGGGTGTGAAAAATAGGAATTTAATTTCTAGTCGAGTATCGTGTTTAACGTGGACAATTATTTTAGGGCAAGTTTTCCAAATGAAAATAAAATACAATTCGAAAAAAACATGTTTTTGCTGCTACAGGATTGTCTTTAGCCACTATAGAGATAATCTTAAGTGAAAGTGTCGAGTTATAAGCTCTGAACACTAGTAATGGTGAAGTAAAATTTATTCTAAAAAACGCAAATGAATATGTACAAAATTATATTCTTATATTATACTATATTTTAGTTTAGTTGTGATTTTTGTGCTCTACTGTATTGTAACAGGAGTAAAAACACAATCGAAACCAAAAAATCGACTTTATGTATGTACGCGCCTAAAGTATGGAATAAATTCAGTAAAAACGAAACAATTTTTTTTGGAAAAATCCTCGAACAGGTCAATTTTTAATTTAAAAAATAGCATAAAAGGCGATTTTCAACCGTCATTTGTTTGCAACCCCTTATTTTTTTTCTTGGTTCTGAAAGATCGTTTCATTGTCGATCCGACAGTATTAAAATATTGCCATCTTACATAGGAAAGTTTTCGAGTAAATGACGATTGACCCACATAGCAGAATGACATGTAATGTACATACATTTAATATCCATTTTATGCATATGTATATACCTTGATGGTGGAAGTAAAGTCTAATGTATATGTAATAGATATAGAATTAATATACATTGCATATACTTTTGTCGCCAACTTTCATGTTCATTTCATATCCATTATATGTACATAGGTATATATAATGTACATTCATTTCACATGAAACACATATGTATGTACATAATTGTATATGATATGAACATACATTATACATTATTGGTATATTTAATGAATATTCATTACACATGAATTAAATATACATTGCATATACTTTTGTTGCCAACTTTCATATTCATTTCATATCCAATGTATGTACATATGGTATATTTAATGTATATTCATTATACATGAAAAATACACATCAAGTACATTAATGTAATGTATCTACCTAATTAATTTTAATATATATTTTGTTAATAATTAACATTCAAAAAAATTTTTACAATAATAATTATAAAAACAAATACTTTTATTTATTGAAATCGTTCAAAAAGACTTGTTAATTATTATAAAATCAACCTATGGATTTGAAGAAAAATTCATTTTTTTAAATGTTATTAACAAAATAAATATATTAAAATTAAATAGGTACATTACATTAATGTACTTGATTTGTAATTTTACGTATAACGAATACTCATTAAATATACTGAATGTGTAACATATGTCCATATATTATACCATAAAAGAGCATATATATATTATATCAAAAAATAACGAATTACTTACCTTCAAAGAATGGGACTTCAATTAGCATAACATATGAACGAAATGTATAATTTGGGTATAGATGCATTTATTGCACAATGTTGAAAAATTTGTTGGTTGAAATACTTCTATTATTCATACTTAATAGGATGACATTAATATTATAATTCCAACCTATACCCAATATGTAATAAAACAAATATTTTCAACTTTTAACGCAATATATTTCATATTATAAAACAAAAAAATTTATATAAAATTTACATAAAAAAACAAAATTTAAAACATTTGTTATTAATTATTTAATTCCACTTCTGTCTGCTCATGTTGATTGTTTATTCTAAAATTACAGAAAAATCATTAATAATTATTAATCATTATAATTAATTTAGGCATAAAAATATCTTATTGCTAATCGACTTACCTCTGTTTCTTTTCCAGATTGTTTTTTAATCGATCCTTGGCTCTTACTAACCAGAGCTTAATGGTTTTTATTGATTCATCTTCATCAGAATTTTTTGTTCTTCTGTTTATTCGATTGTTCATTATTATATGAAACCACTGCTTTTACATAAATAAAATTTTCTAACCTAAAAAGTGATCTTTAAAATATTTAAAAGTGCTTAATTAAAGTTACTTACCTCAATTGCAAATTTTCACAAAACACATGTAAAATAAAACCAAAGTAGTATATATCTTCTAATTCAAATCATAGACAAAATTTATATTATTCTACATTTTCTCTAAATAAATATGTCCACACCCATGCCGTTCCCACCATTTCACAGAAAGAGAGCTGATCAGATCACAGATCACACATATCACATGCGTTTCGATGGCCGTTTCTTCACGCATGCGCAGTTAATTCCTGTGCTTTAATTTGAATCGTATTTACCGGTTACTAACCACCAGTGTTTATTTATTAAATAGAAACATAGACGTTATTCTTTGATTCTACGATAGAAACAAAATAAACTTGTAGGTGACGTAATATTAAATTAAGCAATCTGTAGCTAAAATCATAGGCTAAAATATTAGGTTATAATTATATAGGTGTGTAGATTTATACCTATATATTCTGTGACCCAAGTAACTTTCTGCATAAAATTATTTATTTTCATATCTTTCGAGTTTCACTCGTTTTTATTGCCTTTTAGTGTTAGTCTAAATAAATGATGTAGGTATTTAATACAATTTTTAAATATTTATTGAAATCATATACATTAATGGACACCTTATGTATATTGACTTATGTATATACCTTAAAGAATATACATAGTATATGATACTGATGAATATTAGTTGCTGAATATATAATGAATATCCTACGTATATAATAAAATACATATACAGATTCTAACATTTCATGCATATGCTATAGATATACATATCCATGCCATGTTATGTGGGGAATGTTAGAAAACGTAAATTTTATTCATTAAAAAAATAACAGTTCCTATGTCAAGCAAATACAATTCATTAAGTTTTCTACCTAAATTAAGTGTTCCAATTGCCACCCACCGATTTCTTGACAATACGCAAGTCTGTGTAGAAAATCTTCTTGCACATTATGAATTATTTCTGGGGTAACTCTGTGTATTTCATCTATAATACAATTTCCTTCTTTCTTCTAAATTATGTGGTCTATTAAAGTACACTTTGGATTTATAAGCCCCATAAGAAATAGTCCAGGGGTGTAAGATCTGGGGATCTCGCGGGCCATTCCATCGGTCCTCGTCTGCCGATCCACCTCCTAGGAAAACAATTGTCCAGAAAATCTCGAACAGGACGCGCATAGTGCGGAGGTGCGCCGTCTTGCTGAAATCATATGGTGTCATCAGGAATATCAGGGTCATTATCGTTAGGAAAAATTACTGCAAGCGCTGGAACAAGGTCATTTTAATAAATAATAAATAAATATCTAATATCTATCTCACTATATAATAAGTAAATATCTTTCTCCTGTAAGGATTCCTTCAAAGAGGAAAGGCCCAACTATTCTGTTGTCAACTATTCCAGCCCACACATTTACTTTCTGTGGGTGTTGGGTATGTGTCTCTGCCATCCAATGAGGATTTTCCCGACTCCAATACC